CTGTGTGGCCTGTTTACAGAGTTAGTGCGAAATTTAAAAAAAAAGTCTGACGTTGAGCGGACCAGAGTGACCAGCAGACCTCTGAGGGTAACCGCAGCCAGGGCTAAATTTACCCCGTCTGTAGTGCACTTCTCTCGGTCTAGTTATGTGTGAACTACCGCTCGTTCTGATGCCGTTTTTTTGCGGTTCAGTCATTTTTTTAAAATGTTTTTTAAGCTTTAGAAATTAAAAATATTGTTTTCAAAATGTTTTGTGTAGGGAATAAATAGTTTTGACTGTAAAAGAAATGCTAAAGAACGTTGCCTGTGATGACGTCACAAGTACGTACTCGCGTTCTCATGAATTGAGAAACGGCCAACAATTTTTATTTTTTTCTTGATTAACCCTAAATTCATGAAATCACGGCGAACGTCTTAGTTTTAGGTATAAATAATGATCCAATGATTATTCCTTGTCGACCGAACTTTTGCTTTAATGCTCCTGTTCATTCTTTCATACTCGTATTCTGACCCGTTTCTGTGTGGAAATGTCCCCATATGCGGTATTTCCAGGAACTAAGAAAAACAACAAATAATAAATATATCGACTATCCTGAACTAAATGTAAAAATAGTCGCCTTATTGATCCTAATATGATGCAGCATCTTCCTCCACCTACTTCTGCTCTTCTTTGTCTTTTTCTTAAGGCAATACAATGTTTTCCACCTCATGCATGAAGCTGCTCTGGAGCCAGGAGCTCCTGTGGTTACAGACTGTTTTATCCTGGATGCACAAAGTAGCGCCTCCACAGATCCTCCCTCCCTGCTGCTCTAACAGTGTTTATAAACATGCTGCTGATGGTTACAGCGGTTCTTCATTCGATGGAGAAAGATTTCCACCGTTTGTAATCTGCTCAGTTTGTTTCTGTCACGTGAAAATCTGCACAGATCTGAACCTGCTCTGGATGTTTGTTTTTATAACTATCACACATATTTCAAATCGTTCTGTAAACCAGCTGGTGTTTTCTTTTTCTTTTTAAATACAAAAATTCTCATTTTTATTAGAATATTCCTTTTTCTTTTCTAGCTGCAGCATATTTTTTCCTTCTGTGAAGTGACTACCACGAATGAAAAGTCCCATTTTTAATTATTTGATTTCATTCATAATCAACCGTATGTTCTCCACATTTATGCAGCATTTTTGGATTTCCTTCCTTTTCACTGAGATCTAGATGGATCATTTTAGATACCAAGCAGTAATCAACATGTCTGAAAACAGAAGAGAGTCGGCTTTAAACATAAAGCCGAAAACAGGAAAGCTGACTAAACTGGATCAAATAAAACAATCTTTATAATCTGATTAAATAATTTCTGCTCTAAATCAGTCAGGATTAGATTTATAATGTTCTGATTTTAAATGTGAACACGCATTAAGTTAGTAGATATAAAGAACAAGCTGTTAATGTTTATATTTGATGCCTGGAAGGTTTAACGTCTTTTTTCTACAGTGCATTTAAATGTCTGGTTAAGTTGAAGGTGCAGCATGATTCATAAATCCATCCTGCAGAAGCTGATTTTCTTTTTGTGGAGAGCAGAAGACAGGCGGATAAATACTCTCCCTAAATGCATCCGACTCCATAGCAGCAAAGTGGGGTTCAGGAGATTGAAGATGGTTTTTGCTCTCCACTGCATTTAGAGTCCTTTCTGGACGCTTATTTTTCCCAGATGACCTTGTTTCACTTCAAACCACCGAGCTCACTGCTGCTTTTAACGTAGGCTTCCTCTGAACGTCTGCCCAGGGTCTCTGGTTTTTAGACTGTTCTTACAAAACTATTTTAAAAACTTAAAATCATTATGAAAAATAATGTCTCTTATTTGAGTTTTATTCTAAGGATCTGTTAGTATGTAAGAGGAATTTGTTGATTTAAAGGATTTAAGGGATTATTGAAAAAAAAAATAATTTTGTTTAAAAGAGAAATCAGAGGTTTGGTTTAAAGGCTTCAGGTCAGACCAATATGAAAAACTAAAACTGGATGTTAATCTGATGTGGAGCTGGGACCATTAATGGAGCTAAAAACAAGGCATCCTGGGAATAAAAGAAGCTGATAGGTTGAGAGAGAGAAGACTATGAAGAGTCCACCCGCCCTAAACACAGAGCCAAGGAAGAGTTCAGATCGAAGCACGATGTCGTTCTAGACAGACAATAAAGTCCAAAAGTAACCTATTAATTTGTCGTCTCCTGCTTCATCCGGGTCGCGGTAGAGACTCCCAGGCTTCCCTCTCCACAGACATCTCCTCCAGCTCTGTGGGGGAAGCCCACTGCGCCCCCAGGACAGTGGAGAGACATAGTATGTCCAGAGGACCACGGCTTGTCCCCTGGGCCTCCTCTCTGTGGGACATGCCTGGACCACCTCCCAAAAGAGGCGTAAACATACCAAACCTAACAGGGAACCGCCTTGATGAACTGTAGTTCAAACGTTCAATGGTGAGAAAGTTCTTTATGCAGGGGGTGGGTTGGTTCCCCTGGAGGGAGTGTGTGTGATTTTCCAAGGTATAAATGTGCTGAGCTCGCCGCAGTCAGAGCTCTATCTCTCCGCCCGAGGAAGTTAAAGAAATTTGAAACTTATTTCTTGCAAGAAATGCCTCAGTTTCCCAGCAGTGAAGCAGCAGCTAAAGACCAACTGATATTAATATTAATAAACCGATCTACAGCAACTCTAATTTCTGATAAATCTTTCCCAGAACCTCGTAGCAGAACGTTAAGGAAAGAAAAAATTCCCAAACCTAAAAAGGTAAATAAGGACACAGCATCAGGGTAAGAACCAATAATCAGTCTATTTATTTATAATATTTTAGTTATTTAGACTGTAGAGACTATGGTTAGCATTGCTATCACTAGTATCAGTATTAATAAGGACATTTACTCACACATCCATAAATTTGATGCTTTGATAACTGTGGCTCCTGCTTCAGACTGTATTCACAGCGCTGTCCCAGTATTTCCTCTATTGAAATCAAATGTCTTTTGCATTTTTTGACATCAGATCATCCACTTTACTTCGTTATCGCCACGCTTCGCTGGGTGGTGCTAACTGGCTTAGCCACAGTAGGCTAATCGCCCCTGCATTCAACGACAACTGTTTTTATTCTAAATGTATATTAAAACAGCTTTATTTACCAACAAATCAACCCGGATCAAAGTGTAAAACCCCGAAATAGCAAATAATTCACCAGCAGGAAAAAAAAAAAATATATATATATATGCAACCAGAATGACCTACATGCATTGAAAGAAACGAAAAAAAAAAACATCTAACATGACCTTTAAACTCCTCCATCTTTGACACAAATGCACTGCAGCTGTAGATGTTTAGTTGTTAAACACTCTGGGTGTTTGGTGGTTGACTGATCCTGAGGAAAGCTGAAAAACTGCAGGAAGAAGCTTTTCTTTAGCACTACCTGTTTCTGTGCTTTCAGTTCGCAACACAGATCTCACAATCCTTGCACTCAACCACATTTCATCCGCTTATTTCAGTGTTTTTAACACATTTCTAGCATTTTAACACATTAGATTAGAAGTTGCATCTGTGTTTGAATAACAACTAGATAGATTTCTACTGTTGTCCTTTTACCAGAGAATGTTGAGGACTGTACAGGTAGCCAGGCCTCCAAGAACTGCTCTCCGAAACCAAAGGATCTGGAAAGAAAACAGGGAAATATGTCACATATATTGTGAGAAATGATGCAGTTACACTGATGCAGGTTTACAAACATAAGAAAGAAGTTTATTTCCAGGAAAATGGTTCAGTGTCACTCATGGGAAAGATGAGCTGTTTCTTAGAAATGTGAGCAAACATTCAGC